TTCCTATCTTCCGCCTTGACTACCGGACACAGTGTCGATTTGATACTTAAAGTCCCTCGGCCGTCCCACTGACCCCTGTTGCATACCTGCCTAGTATCGTGTTGTCGTCCTCCATCGTCACCTCGATATAAGAACAGGAGTACTTATACGCTGCTTCAGGGATGAAAACGATCTCATTACTTCGTGCAATGGCCATATTGCCTCGACTTCCTACTACCCGGTTACGTCGAGGCCCCGGCGGTCGATTGTGAAACTGGTTAACTTCATCTACTTGAGGTTGGCTCCCAGGCGATCACACCTTTTTCCGAATCGTACCGTCGGTACGCAATCGCAGACCCCTGCTGCTGACTACCCCCCCTGCCACCTTGTCAGTGGCTAGTGGCCCACACCAGCCCACATTGTGACCACCTGTGATCCAGAGATCAACACCATTGGCACAGCAACAGCCTCGAGATAAAGGCTTATCCAGGACGTCACTTGCTGACAGTGCATTCTTGGTCACGCCCTGTTGATCGTGTCCACTGACGACGTCACCGTAGTGTGGTGTTTGTGGACCCAGAGTACTCGCCCCTCTCCCGGCGCTACAAACTCGACCGGCGCCCCCGAGAATCCCCATCTTCGGCGTTCCAGGCGCCTCAAGCTCTCCGACGCCTCACGCTCTCCGGCGCCTCAGTCCAGACTATGTCAAACGGTCGACACCCCAACCCTAGATCTGTTTGCCTCATATCTGAATGTGGCCAGCTGACGTCTTCCATTCCACCTGTGCCGGATACGACCGCTGTGGCAGTCGAAGCCTTCCATCGTTCCTGAGAAGGATTACGCGCGCACGCTTTTCCGACTCCGGTTCTCCCTCCCACGGTTCTTCAGAGATCCAGGCCACTCAACCCCTGCCATTGACTTTGGTCTCGCCTTATTGGTCAGCCAGAAGTTGGGTTATCGACCTCCGAAACATAGCCAGAGACAACCCCTGGAACTTCCGGTGTGGTCCAACCTTCTGTTCCATCCACACGGTCTGTTGCCACACCCTCATACCCGCATGTTATCGTCTGCACGCCTGACACACCTGCAGAAAGCCAAGGGCTATTCGGCTAGAGCGACCAAGGCTATTGCTTCAGCCCACCGTCCATCTACAGGGGGACTGTATGCTGATAAATGATGCTTGTTCCAGGCATTTTGTTCTGACAAACACCAGGATCCGATGACAGCGTCACCGCAGATCCTGGATCAGTTCCTTCTGTACTTGCGTAGCACCCGTCGGTTGAAGGGCTTACCACCCCCACATACCTGGTCGCCATCTACTCCGTTCTGGCCATCCCGGACGATCGGAGAAAGACGAAAATTCCCGACCTACAGGCCTGGCTGCGCTCGTTCGGTCTTGAAGACCTGAAGACCAAGTTCGGACCGCCTGCGTTGGATCTGAATGTGGTCTTCAACGCCCTTCGAACCACTCCCCTCGTCTTCCTTCTACGACCTTAAGTAGAAGACGGGTGTTTCTACTGGTTTTGACTACTGCCGCTCGAGTCCATGTACAGCACGCCCTCGACGTCTCCCATGCCCGGTTCAAATGCGGTACCCAGGGCGCCGTTCATCATGGACCGTACTGGGACGTCAGCGTAAAGACTCAACTCCCAGGACAGCCTGATAGATCATTCCTTGTCCCCTCCCCCCTCGTCCAGTGTGGGTGCCGAGGATGAGGATGAGCGTCATTATGCCCAGTAAGGGCACTGAAGGTTATTCTACGATCTAAAGACTGCCGCAAGTCTAGGAAACACCTTTTTCTGCCGGTCTCCCCTTCGTCGCTGTCGTTGGTCAGCCGGAATACTTTTCCCTGTGGCTCTGGGCGGTCATCCTTAAAGCTTATGAGCCGCCGGATTGGACCCTCCCCCCAAAGGCTATTACCTGAAATAAAATGAGATCAGGGCGATCGTATTTCACTGGTTCTTCACGGTATACTGTTCCATCCCGTCGTTCAGGGAAGCCTGTTCGTGGCGATCGGACACCGCCTTCACCAACCACTACTTCCGGGATGTAGCCTTGAAAGTTGTCGCCGGCGTTCACAGTTTTGGTCCCTGGTTGTAGCCCAACAGGTCATCTATCTCCGACGCCACTGATTCTCCGATACCCTGAGCGGGGCCCGTCGACCTCTCTGGTGTTTATCACCCCAGACGAGACGGCTCTCTTGCGTTCCGCATTCACTCTTAGGTCAGTTTTAGTTTTGGGTTACCCGACTCATTCTATTGCTGTCACCTATCCGGGTTTTACTTTTTGCATCAACTCTCGTTTCCTGACGACAGGAATGGTAGTAGATGTGGACACCGGCGCCGACGCCAACGCTGCTGCTTCTCTGGTACCTGAGCGGTGCCCGTCGACCTCACCGGTGTTCCTTGCCTCCAGCCTAGAGGGCTCTCCTGCGTTTCGCATTCGCTCTTGGGATTGGTCGTAGATTTTGCCGCCGACGCCGCTGATTCTTCGATTCCCCGAGCGGGGCCCGTCGAACTCTCTGGTGTTTATCGCCTCAGATTAGAGGGCTCTACTGCGTTTCGCTTTCGCTCTTCGGTAAGGTATATATTTTGGCTTCCACGCCTCATTGTATTTCGGTTACCTATTCGGGCGTTTCGTTTTTGCATCGACTCTTGTTTCCTGAAGACAGGAATGGTCGTAGATGTTCCGGTCATCACTTGTATGCGGTGCGGATTCATCGGACCTTGACGAGGGTTTAATATGGTTCACATCTGCAGGTATGCCCACCGGCCATGCCGTCTGATAAAGATGCAATACGGAGTAATGCAGGATAAGTTAAAAAATTTAGTAAAATCTAAATATTTTTTACATTTGTATACTTATCCTGCATTACGAAGTCTAAGTGCCCTCCCTTTCGCTACGCTACCCCCCACAAAGTTTCAGATGTTATGTTTAAAGCAGTTATGTCTTTTGGTGTGACGTCATGACTTCCGGGTCACGTGCCGACTGTGAGAGGCCGCTGCCTCCTGGGCTGGTTGGGACAACTTTCTTCAGCAGCTGGATCTCACACAGTTCGTCTCTCTGTCAAAGACAGCAGTAAATGCAATACGGAGTAATGCAGGATAAGTATACAAATGTAAAAAATATTTAGATTTTACTAAGCTTAGTTCGGCAAGGGTGGAAACTGAACTCGCTTGCCTCGGGAAGATGGACTGAAGTCAGCCGCAACACTATTTCAGTTTAGTTGAGGGCTTTCCTCCTTCAGGCTTATGAGATAGCCAACCTTGATCCACAGAGAGCTAAGAATCCTCTTGAGATCCAGGCGGGTGCCTCTTCAATGGCTCTTTACAGTAATTGCTCTATCAGAGCCATCATGAAAGGATGTTTATCGAGGTCCAACACTGTCTCAGCAAACCACTATCTGAGGAACGTGGCCTTGGAAGATGTCAAAGGCATTCATAGATTTGGTCCTCTGGTCATAGTCCAGCAGGTCACCAATCCTCGTTCCCATTAAAAATGCTACTCCTGTCCAGATCCAGCCTTACCCGACAAGGGGGTTATTCTGCAAGCCAGCAGTTGGTTTGGGTTAATCAGTTTCTAGACTTTAGCGCATGCAAATTTCTGTTGCTGCAATTTACCTGGATATCCTCATACTCTCGTGCCATCCCCGGACAGGATTGGTCGAAGTAGTTGCAGATCTGCGCAAGTGATGCGCTCAACGACTGCTGTGAACTAGTGGAGAGTATGTCACTGAGGACTACATCTGTAGGTATGCCATCCGCCCTACCGTCCAATACAGATGCATTTAGAAGTAATGCAGGATATGTAAACAATTTTAGTAAAATCTAAATATTTTTTACATTTGTGTACTTATCCTGTACTACGTCTAAGAGCCCACCCATCGCAGACCTACCTCCCCTTGATCTCTTCAGATGTTAAAGATCTAGACATCTGCGACAAGCAGTAAGGTGGAGATTACGTGACGTCATCACATCCGGGTCACATGGTCTCACATTTAAGTGAAACAACTTCTTTCTCACCTGGAGCCCTGCAGCTTTGTTTTCTGTCAAAGGTAAGCAGTCAAGGCATTAAGGAGTAATGCAGGATGAGTAAAAAATAAGAAAATATAAGACAGTAACAGAATTGTTGGTAAGATTTCCATTTGTTCCTCCCACCGTTGTTTTCATTATTTTACCCATGCACTCAACACAGCTTCATTTTCTGTCAAATGTAAGCAGTAAATAATGTAAAAAATATTTAGATTTTACTATGTTTATTCTTGTATGTCCGTTATGATCTTGTATTGCAAATATTCCCTTGTTTTTCAAAAAGAATTTGTCCAGCGACTGATTGTCTGTCCATCACTTTTGACTGATACGTGTAAAAAGGAATGTTGAAAACTTCTAACACCATCCTAAGCATGTAAAGAGTTAAGTTTATTTATTGATTCTCAGAAAAAGCATGGTCAACATATGTTATACGGTAATTACATTTTGGGCACTTTGTGTTCACGTCGTGTTTAATCATCAAGTCAAATTGACATCAGTTAATTACAGTTATTGGGCAGTGTCCTAATGACTCAAGCAATCATTAGTTTGAATTAGGTATGGAAAACAAGATGTTGAGGTTTTGCAGAAAAAAAGTATTCATGAATGTGCAGACAAGAATAAGTCTTAAAAAAAAGTGTCGATGAAAGATCTCTCTTCAGCAACCCATGCTTGTCGTAAAAGGGGACTAACGGGATCAGGTGGTCAGACTCGCTGACTTAGTTGATTTATGTCATCGTATCCCAATTGTGAAGTTCGATGCTCATGGTGTCAATCACTGTATGAGTTATGCACTCATGTCCTGTATGAGTTTTATGGCTCAAGTGTTTGATTATCACTTGAAGGTCAGCTTCTGTCCCTCTGGTTGTCTGGTTGTAATGTCCTCCCAGACAAGCATTCTACTGTTAGAGAGATTTCTTTATGAGTCAGTGTGTTCAGTGAACCAAGTCATGTAATTTTGATGTGTAACTGCTCTGTTGGCCATGGTTACAGGTACGTCCCTCATTGCTTATCCCCGGATGACCTTCCTGTTGGAGTGTCTTCATGACCTTGACCAGACCTGTAAGAAGTACGGCTCTCGGCTCTATGTCTTTCAAGGTTCACCTGTTGAAGTGTTCTCCCAAATAAAAAAGGTTTGTTGAGTTGTTCATTCTGTTGATTTGATTTAGATATTGTTGCATGTCCTTTGTTTGGTTTGTTCTTGCAATCAGATGTAGCCAAATGACATTTGTTTAGGTTTCTTACAATTTTTTGAGAAAATAAACTGATATTAAAAAATATGTTCAGAGAATAGTATATTGTTTTTTGTGTGTCAAGATTGGGCATGATATTAGTCCTGTCAATTACAACTTTTAAAAACCTGTACTGAAAAAAACCCAAATAAACATAAACATTCACAACTTAATGCAAATGTAACCTTTAGCAATATTAAGTTACCAGGCACTTAATAGCACTATGAATTGTTCATGGCGTGTGTCATCTCTGCATTCACAAGAAATAGAGAGATGATGTTTTGTTTCTGTGAAATAAACAACAAGAGAAGTCACATTTGATCATGGCATATAAAATTAAACAAAATGAGCAAACTTTTATTCATGATATTTTTCAGGACTGGGGTATTACCCAGATTGCATTTGAACAGGATACTGAGCCTATTTGGTTTGAACGAGACAAGACTGTGAAAGATTTCTGTGAGGAAAGCCACATTGAATATGTTGAAGAGATTGGCCATACATTATGGGACCCGCGAGAGTAAGTTAAAAGTTGTGGGTTAGTCACTGAAGGTTAAGGATTTAAGGATGTTAGTCTCAGTTGTTACATCCCTAAGAACATAATTATGACATCTCGATCCCTGAAACATTTTTTTCACTTACCCAAGCTGGCCAGTATTTTGTAAGCTGACCATTATGTAGGTAGGTAGTCAATGAGAGTCAATCCCAACAGGAGGCTAAGATTATTGGGCTATTTTAGCATAGCACGGTATTTCTGCATCTGCCAGGGCAGCAGATATATAAAACTACTTCCTGAAAACATAAAACTAGCCTTTTTGACACATTGTGGCTCTGTATGTATACACGTACCACTTTGAGTCCAAGACTTCTAAACATGCAACTGTTGAATTGAGTAAAGTTCTCATTCATATTGACATATCTGACAAGTTTTTATAACAATTTCCGAAATGTGCAGACTCTGTGCTCCAGCAAGGCCTGTAACATATGTTGTCATTTTGTTCTGTTGGGCTTTTCTCGACTTTAAACCTGAACAATTGATATATGTGGTAACTAAAATAGTGTTCAAAGCGTGGTGGCACGTGGTCCTATGCACAGCCCATAGGCCACAAATCAGGTGAAGTTAAGCAATGTTGGTACCCTTGTCGACAGCTTGGCTCCTGAGAGTTTCTAGGGCTTCGGTCCTTCCTGCCCCGCATTGTTATTATTATTAAACCAACCTTACTTCTTTCAGAGTGATTGAGCTGAACAAGGGCAGTCCCCCTGTGACCTATGGCCTGTTCAACCAGGTGACATCCATCCTGGGACCCCCTCCCAGACCAGTTGCGGACCCAGATTTCACTGGGATCAACCTCCCTGTGACTCCAGACCATGATCAATTCCGTATCCCGACTGGGGAAGAACTAGGTAGGATAGTTAGTTATCAGCATGTCCATCTGTCCCTCTTCGTAATAACAGGCCGCCCTGACTGCAGCTTTACACAACATTCACTCTTGCTGTAAGTCTGCCCCTGGGACCACTTGCTCAAAACAATCTTAGAGCTATGACAATGGTAAGTCTATGTTAAAATATGGGAGTTACATGGTCTTAAGGCTAAAAATTGCTTTCTGCAAGTGGGCCCTGGCTCAAACTTGACTGCTGGCTTCAGCATGTCATCCTTGATTCCGGTTTCTTATGATTGCATTATTTAGTGTTAAGCCCAGTTCACTGACTCACTGTGCGAGTGATGACTGACAGCTGTGTGAACCTGTTGCAGGTGTGAAGAAGGAGAATGATGTCCTGGAGTGCCAGAAGCAGTACATAGGAGGGGAGACACAGGCCTTGAAGCTCCTGGCAGGCAGAATCCCTGTGGAGGAGAAGGTGTGTTACAGGGCCAGTGTGGCAGCAGGAAGGAGGCCCAGTTCTTGTGATGGGGGAGTTGGTGGTTTGGCAGCAGGAAGGAGGGTCAGTTCTTGTGATGGGGGAGATGGTGGTGTGGGCTACAGGGCCAGTGTGGCAGCAGGAAGGAGGGTCAGTTCTTGTGATGGGGGAGTTGGTGGTATGGCTACAAGGCCAGTGTGGCAGCAGGAAGGAGGCCCAGTTCTTGTGATGGGGGAGTTGGTGGTGTGGCAGCAGGAAGGAGGCCCAGTTCTTGTGATGGGGGAGTTGGTGGTGTGGCTACAGGGCCAGTGTGGCTACAGGGCCAGTGTGGCAGCAGGAAGGAGGGACAGTTCTTGTGATGGGGGAGTTGGTGGTGTGGCTACAGGGCCAGTGTGGCAGCAGGAAGGAGGGTCAGTTCTTGTGATGGGGGAGATGGTGGTGTGGCAGCAGGAAGGAGGGTCAGTTCTTGTGATGGGGGAGTTGGTGGTGTGGCAGCAGGAAGGAGGGTCAGTTCTTGTGATGGGGGAGTTGGTGGTGTGGCAGCAGGTTGGTCAGTTCTTGTGATGGGGGAGTTGGTGGTGTGGGCTACAGGGCCAGTGTGGCAGCAGGAAGGAGGGTCAGTTCTTGTGATGGGGGAGATGGTGGTGTGGCAGCATGAAGGAGGGTCAGTTCTTGTGATGGGGGAGTTGGTGGTGTGGCAGCAGGAAGGAGGGTCAGTTCTTGTGATGGGGGAGTTGGTGGTGTGGCTACAGGGCCAGTGTGGCAGCAGGAAGGAGGGACAGTTCTTGTGATGGGGGAGTTGGTGGTGTGGCTACAGGGCCAGTGTGGCAGCAGGAAGGAGGGACAGTTCTTGTGATGGGGGAGTTGGTGGTGTGGCAGCAGGAAGGAGGGACAGTTCTTGTGATGGGGGAGTTGGTGGTGTGGCAGCAGGAAGGAGGGTCAGTTCTTGTGATGGGGGAGATGGTGGTGTGGCTACAGGGCCAGTGTGGCAGCAGGAAGGAGGGACAGTTCTTGTGATGGGGGAGTTGGTGGTGTGGCAGCAGGAAGGAGGGTCAGTTCTTGTGATGGGGGAGTTGGTGGTGTGGGCTACAGGGTCAGTGTGGCAGCAGGAAGGAGGGTCAGTTCTTGTGATGGGGGAGTTGGTGGTGTGGCTACAGGGTCAGTGTGGCAGCAGGAAGGAGGCCCAGTTCTTGTGATGGGGGAGTTGGTGGTGTGGCTACAGGGCCAGTGTGGCAGCAGGAAGGAGGGACAGTTCTTGTGATGGGGGAGTTGGTGGTGTGGCTACAAGGCCAGTGTGGCAGCAGGAAGGAGGGTCAGTTCTTGTGATGGGGGAGTTGGTGGTGTGGCTACAAGGCCAGTGTGGCAGCAGGAAGGAGGGTCAGCTCTTGTGATGGGGGAGTTGGTGGTGTGGCAGCAGGTTGGTCAGTTCTTGTGATGGGGGAGTTGGTGGTGTGGCTACAAGGCCAGTGTGGCAGCAGGAAGGAGGGTCAGTTCTTGTGATGGGGGAGTTGGTGGTGTGGCAGCAGGTTGGTCAGTTCTTGTGATGGGGGAGTTGGTGGTGTGGCTACAAGGCCAGTGTGGCAGCAGGAAGGAGGGTCAGTTCTTGTGATGGGGGAGTTGGTGGTGTGGCAGCAGGTTGGTCAGTTCTTGTGATGGGGGAGTTGGTGGTGTGGCTACAAGGCCAGTGTGGCAGCAGGAAGGAGGGTCAGTTCTTGTGATGGGGGAGTTGGTGGTGTGGCAGCAGGTTGGTCAGTTCTTGTGATGGGGGAGTTGGTGGTGTGGCTACAAGGCCAGTGTGGCAGCAGGAAGGAGGGTCAGCTCTTGTGATGGGGGAGTTGGTGGTGTGGCTACAGGGCCAGTGTGGCAGCAGGAAGGAGGCCCAGTTCTTGTGATGGGGGAGTTGGTGGTGTGGCTACAGGGCCAGTGTGGCAGCAGGAAGGAGGGACAGTTCTTGTGATGGGGGAGTTGGTGGTGTGGCTACAAGGCCAGTGTGGCAGCAGGAAGGAGGGTCAGTTCTTGTGATGGGGGAGTTGGTGGTGTGGCTACAAGGCCAGTGTGGCAGCAGGAAGGAGGGTCAGCTCTTGTGATGGGGGAGTTGGTGGTGTGGCAGCAGGTTGGTCAGTTCTTGTGATGGGGGAGTTGGTGGTGTGGCTACAAGGCCAGTGTGGCAGCAGGAAGGAGGGTCAGTTCTTGTGATGGGGGAGTTGGTGGTGTGGCAGCAGGTTGGTCAGTTCTTGTGATGGGGGAGTTGGTGGTGTGGCTACAAGGCCAGTGTGGCAGCAGGAAGGAGGGTCAGCTCTTGTGATGGGGGAGTTGGTGGTGTGGCAGCAGGTTGGTCAGTTCTTGTGATGGGGGAGATGGTGGTGTGGCAGCAGGAAGGAGGGTCAGTTCTTGTGATGGGGGAGTTGGTGGTGTGGCAGCAGGAAGGAGGGTCAGTTCTTGTGATGGGGGAGATGGTGGTGTGGCAGCAGGAAGGAGGGTCAGTTCTTGTGATGGGGGAGTTGGTGGTGTGGCAGCAGGAAGGAGGGTCAGTTCTTGTGATGGGGGAGTTGGTGGTGTGGGCTACAGGGCCAGTGTGGCAGCAGGAAGGAGGGTCAGTTCTTGTGATGGGGGAGATGGTGGTGTGGCAGCAGGAAGGAGGGTCAGTTCTTGTGATGGGGGAGATGGTGGTGTGGCAGCAGGAAGGAGGGTCAGTTCTTGTGATGGGGGAGTTGGTGGTGTGGCTACAGGGCCAGTGTGGCAGCAGGAAGGAGGGTCAGTTCTTGTGATGGGGGAGATGGTGGTGTGGCAGCAGGAAGGAGGGTCAGTTCTTGTGATGGGGGAGATGGTGGTGTGGGCTACAGGGCCAGTGTAGCAGCAGGAAGGAGGGTCAGTTCTTGTGATGGGGGAGTTGGGGGTGTGGGCTAAAAGGCCAGTGTAGCAGCAGGAAGGAGGCCAAGTCCTTGTGATGGGAGTGTTGGTGGTGATTGTGAAGGGGTGGTGTTTGTGGTGATGTCTTAGTAGTGATGACAATGGTGGTGGTGGCAGGGTAATGATGGCAGTGGTTGTGTCAGTGATACAGGACCAGTGTGACAGGAGGAAGGAGGGCCCTTGTGACAGGGCAGTTGGTGTGATGATATGGTGGTGGATGTGATGAGGGTGTGATTGTTATGAGATGGTGGTTGTGATGTGATGTGATGTGATTGTGATGAGATGGTGGATGTGATTAGTATGTGATTGTGATGAGTTGGTGATCGGGATGTATTGTGACTGTGATGAAGCAGTGGATGTGATGAGCCTGGTGTTTGTAATAGGATGGTGGATGTGATGAGTTCGTGTTTGTGATGTAATGTGATTGTGTTGTGATGGTGGATTTGATGCAATGTGATTGTGATGAGTTAGTGATTGTACTGTAATGTGATTGCGTTGAGGTGGAGGATGTGATGAGGTAAAGATTTTGATGTAATGTGATTGTGATGTAATGTGATTGTGTTGAGATGGTGATTGTGATGAGTTAGTGATTGTGATGATGAGATGGTGGATGTGATGAGTTAGTGATTATGATGTAATGTGATTGTTGAGACATGGTGATTGTGTTGGGGTGGTGGATGTGATGAGTTAGTGATTATGATGTAATGTGATTGTGATGACATGGTGATTGTGTTGGGGTGGTGGATGTAATGAGTTAGTGATTGTGATGAAATGTGATTATGATGACATGGTGATTGTGTTGAGGTGGTGGATGTGATGAGTTAGTGATTGTGATGATGAGATGGTGGATGTGATGAGTTAGTGATTATGATGTAATGTGATTGTTGAGACATGGTGATTGTGTTGGGGTGGTGGATGTGATGAGTTAGTGATCATGATGTAATGTGATTGTGATGACATGGTGATTGTGTTGGGGTGGTGGATGTAATGAGTTAGTGATTGTGATGAAATGTGATTGTGATGACATGGTGATTGTGTTGAGGTGGTGGATGTGATGAGTTAGTGATTGTGATGATGAGATGGTGGATGTGATGAGCTGTTGTTTGTAATAGGAGTGTGAGGTAATGATGGCAATGGTTGTGTCAGCAGTCCACTGGTCAGTCAAAAGGCATGTTACTGTTCCACAAACCAGGCAATTATGAGATGTATGTATTCTAGTTGTCGTCTAGCAATTTGTTTGGTATGACTGTTGAATATGGCTGTTGAATATCATCACAGACAGTTGACTGTGTGTTTTCACTTGGCAACAGGCTTTCAAAATGGGCTTCGTCATGCCGAACCAGGCCCGGCCCAACATCGTTGACCCACCTCTCAGCATGAGTCCTCATCTGCGGTACGGATGCCTCTCGGTCCGTAAATTCTTCTGGGAGATACGAGATGCTCATTTCAGAGTAAGTATTAGAAATAAAATAGTAAGGTTTAATGCTGCTTTTAACAATAGTACAGCTGTGAGTCGAGGTGTAACAAGTAGCATATCATCATGAATGGTATAATACAAACCACTGGTTTGGGAAGTCACTCAGATGTATCAAATCTCTGGGCTACTGGCCATTTTCTATGACTGTTGAAATATCACCTCAACATGTCAAGTGTGGAGTTTCTGAGTCTCTGGAGCTTTGAAATAATCATCAATTATTTTCCTCTAGCAATAAATGGCTCATCAATTCTAATCATCAAATTCACAAAACGATGATATAAGAATCACAAGTATGGTCTGACATTACTCAAATGCTGGCTTACCTCGTATAAATAATGGTGTACAGTTAAACATATCTTAGCTGTAGTTCCCATTATGACAAGCATCATGACAACCGTGAATGGGCCAGAAAGTCACATCCTATTTTCCTAAAGACAGCACTACTTCAAGAGAAGCGACTGACAATCTGATGAAGATGATAAATCTGCCTACGAAAATTAAAGGAATCGCATTCTTTTAGATCTTCGTGGATGACAGATTTTTACTGGTAACACTATGAAAAATTCAAGAAATAAATGGTTAGTGAATTTTGTCAGAAGACAATGTCAATTTTACCTGAGAATATCAAATATGTAGAGTGGAGTCAAATGTTAAAAGGTGATATTTCAGTTTTGGAAGTTATTCTTACTTTTTTTGTTTGATGGAAGAACAAGGAAAATATGAATTAGACTAACAAAGCATCTCAAATGTTATTCAACAATAGATAATGATATTCACATACAGGAGCTTCATGTTTGTCTTACCATGTTTGGTGGGCTGTGTATGGTGTGAACTATTTACAGTGAATGTTGGAGAGTGTCCTCTTCATCAGTTGTCCCGATTCCGAAACAGAGGAAGCCCCCTGCATAATGAAAGACCTGACAAGTGGGGATTGTGTGCAGTATGTGATGTGTCTGATTACTCCTGTGCCGGTGGCAAGGATCATGGCAGTTTGCTCATGGTGTTAATTACAGATAGTTTTGCCTGGCACAGACGTTTTGCTTTTTGCCTTTTATTTGCAGAATGTTTACATAAACCAATATTCACTTACACAGGTGTGCCCCAATAAGCCACTGCCAGAAGGTGCGACCTCCCAGCTGATCTGGCGGGAGTATTTCTACACCATGTCCGTCAACAACATCGCCTACGACACTATGAAGGAGAACCCCATCTGTCTGAACATACCATGGAAAAAAGACCCAGAGATGTTCAATACATGGGAAAAGGTATGTGGTCTTTTAGTGACAAAAGCATCAAGGTTATTTGAAGCGACGGTTCATGTAAATTCTGGCCATCTGTTGTCATTTGTAGATCACCTGACTGAAAGTCAAGTGAGTTTATGTTGAGGCACGTTGTGTGTCAGTCGTGAACTCTATTGTTCACATCTCTGAAAACTCTGACTTTGTGTGCTGACAATTGATGTGTCTGATTCCAGCAATGTTGTCTCTAAACTTTGCTCAGAATAATTTTCTGACTTGGGGGCATCAGTCACCGAGTCATCTGAGGCGCCACAATTCACTGTGCAGAGTTGTGTCCCTTTGGCATGCCAGAAACCTGTGATCATGGGTTCAAAACCAGGTTTACCCCGATTATGTTTCTAGGTTTGTCAGCACCTTGATGAGACCTGCATCACTTTGGCTTTCCTCCCACATTAAGCTGATATGCCATGATATAACTGTAATACTGTTCAAAAGCAGCGTAAGCCCAACTCACTCACTCACTATGATCTGACTTAAACTCTTTCAACAATAGTGTTTTGAACCTACCTGTCATATCATTCATTTTTCTAACATTTCACAATGTCTGAAATACGTATTTCATTTCAACTTATCCTATTTTATTGATGGATTAAAAATTTATTCACTATTTCCTGCAATGTTATTGATGGGAAATTCTCGGACACATGCTTCAACAACTGAACATGTCAAGGAGCAAAAATAAGACATTTCAAGCAAATCTTTAAATAAATTATGTAAAGTAATAAATAAAATCAGCAAAATATTTCCTGGTATTGGCCCATGTTACTGAGCGTACATAATAGTGGATGTTATGAAATCTTATATTTGCCGAAAATCGTCAAATTTTTGCTTCCTTGGTGCTCAATCTCGACATTGTGAATGAATATTTTTTATTTAAAACAAACATAATTAAGTTGTAAATGCATTATTTAAATAATGTGATAAACATAACTTTCATATGTATTAACAGTAGGATTAGACCTTTCAAATGATGAATAACGTATAGTAGCAAAGATGTTTTACAAGCAGATAATTTCCTTGATAAATAGAGGCTTTGTTTGAAATGTGATATATAGTAATTATGTGCCATGACCAACAATAAAACTTGTTATTATGTTATCATGTTCGTATACTGTCAGTCATAGTGGCCCTCTGCACAGCGAGTTATGCATGAATTCTATTTAAAATAGGTGAACATGCTGTGAGGATGTCTGTCTGGTTGAGGCTTTGGCCATTTCCTTTGCTTATCCTTCTTTAGCCTTACATGACCTATGACAAATATGCCAGAGAGATTGAGGAGAGCTACACAGTCTTCATGTGGCACTGTGTATCTTTTGCCTTCTGAATCTTGGCAAGTTGGCAAAAAACATCCCTAAAACAAGAAAAAGAAGTTGGCCTTGTCTGAGGATTAAGAGATTCAGATAATTCTATCTACTGAAGCCAGTGAGAGATTGTTGAGGTGTTGTGTTGCAGGGTATGACTGGCTTTCCCTGGATTGATGCCTGTATGAGGCAGCTGCGGAGTGAGGGCTGGATCCACCACGTGTGCCGCCACGCCGTCGCCTGCTTCCTCACTAGAGGTGACCTGTGGATCAGCTGGGAGGAAGGACTTCGGGTCAGTATATCTTACAACACTTTGAGGCAGATTATGTAGACAATGTTCCTTAAATGTCGCCGAAGATGAATTTCACTTTTTGCTTGTATGTTGTAAATAAGATAATTTAAGGAAAAAATAAGGTGAACTAAATCACTTTGTACATCCAAATAAATACAAGTTTATCTCTTTAATGTCACATGTGAGCAAAACGACTGTATGAAATCTATCTCTATTCATATATTATGCCATGTTATTAAGAAATGAATCCTTGTAACATGTTTAACCGGTTCCACACTGTCAAGCATTCTGACCTCTGGCCTAACAGTTATATATGAATACACTGAATGGAATTGAGTCTTGGAAAACACTGGTGATAAAAACTTGTTATCTCATTTCAGACATTTTTGACCTATCTCCTTGATGCTGATTGGTCAGTGTGTGCAGGAAACTGGATGTGGGTATCCAGCTCTGCATTTGAACGTATTCTGCAGTGCTCCAAGTGCTTTTGTCCAGTTGGTTACGGCCGCCGTATTGACCCATCAGGAGAATTTGTCAGGTAGGGCTGTTGTTCATATAGAAATGAGCATAGAGATTGTGTGTCAGAACAGGGCAATACCAATCCATATCTAACAGCCTGGGGTTGTTTCATAATGTGTAACTGGCTGACTCTGTGGTGTAGTGAAACCTTGTTTATCTGCACCCCATTGATACAAATACACCACATTTCACACGATTTTGATGGGGACTAGTTGTACATTAAATAGAACATGATTCTGTTTCCATCATTTGTTAAATTGGAAATTAATCCTTAAAATACAGTGACTGCAGAATGCTGTGGAATAGTGCAATACTACTGAAATGGGGAAAATTAATGGAGTTAACCCTTTTAGAAACAATATAGTTGGTTGTCCAAACTACCGGTTCCATCACTGGTTCATGGTTTAGTGGGTGCTGTGACAACTCGTCCAATCTGAAACTAACACATTGTTTGTAGTGATTAGCAGTTTAAAATAGCAACTAAGCCAACTTCATTCAGTCTGCAACAATGACACAAACTGACATAAGCGACTAACACACTTTTTCGTTTTGAGGGGATATAAGCCCCGAGTACGATCCCACTGAAGATAATGGGAAAAAACACCACAAAGACTGTATTGCCCCGGTCTTTTCTACATCAGAAAACAACCTGCATTTCTTGCAATTTTGGGGTAACATTATATCCATTAATACAAACTCACTTCATTTATCAGCCTTTCTATTATTCTGGCTGACTTTGAAGGTCTAGGTCACCACTGACGAAATACACCTTCAAGCACCTTCTGAAAATGTGTGCAGATTTTATGAAAAGAAAATCATGAAACTAGCTTCTATGCTCAATAATGGGAACATTCACATGTGTTACTTCACTTGTCTATGTAGGACTATGTAGGACTAAATGACTACAACTGGTCAATTATTCTACAAGGCAGGATAAGGGCCCTATTTGGCCCACAGGATCGACATAATTTAAGAATTGTGCATTAATTCAGACATTGTTTTGAAAGTTATCAGCTGTGTTCATATAAAGGGGAGCTTGTTCATGTCAACAACTGACTGTTTGGGATATATAACAACACTACCGGGACCTCCCGTATATAAACCCCCAGCCTAATCCCCAAAATAGCACTTTCTCATTTAAAAGAAATTATCTGAAATTAACCTCAGGGCTCGATTTCAGAAACTAATGTTTTCTTTCAAGGGAAAACCTTTACTGAAAAAATAAGAAGCCGCTAGTTGTTTTCACTGAGAAAATATAAAACATGAATTTTAACTTTGAACCGGACTGTTGAATGCACGTTACGATTTGCGTAGTGTATATAGTGCATTGCCACGTTGTTATATTTTTTATCTTATCCTGCATTACAACCTCAATGCTTCTACTGCAGTTCTTTGATAAGGAGACGGTGGTCACTCAAGCCCTTATTCATCTTGGCCTCATCTGCCATTGTCATTGATCAGGGTCTTACCGAGGACAATCCTAATCGTGTCTTTCATTTATGTACTATGATGCCATTTCAACATCGTCAAATCGACCGTCTATGTATGTGCCTTAGCACATAGACCTTCAGCACGTACCCTGTATGATGACAAATGGTGTTCCTTTGAATCCTTCTGTAAGAATCAGAAACAGGACCGTCACTGCAGTTTATGACTGAATTCCTTCTCCATCTCCGCAACAAGTGTCACCTCAAGGGTAGTACCATAATTATATATCTGGTAGCCCTCAATTCGGTGTTGGCAGTTCCTTTTTCGTCTGGAGGATGAACGTGACAATTTTCGTCCCCCAGCCTGAGATTTGAACGTGGTTTTGAAATCGCTCTGTACCACTCCTTTTGAACCACTCCACTCTTCATCTTTCTTGAAACTTACTAAAAAGACAGTGTTTCTCTTGACATTAGCTTCAGCGGTTGCATGCCCTTGGCGTCTCCCAAGTATGGTTTGAGCGTGGGGTGCACGGTGCCGTCCATCTTGGGCTGCGCAAGCATGTCATTGCTAAGAGTCAACTCCCAGGACAGCTGGACAGATCTTTCACCGTTCCTCCCTTAGCATCGATAACTCATTATCTCCAAGGCGTGGCACATGAGGATGTGCAAGTTGTCCATTGTTTTGGTCCACTGGTGGTCACAAACCCCAGACAGTCTCTGGTGGTAATTACCCCAGATTAGAGGGTTACATGTTTCTACTTATTCCAGCTGCTTGGATTGGGAATTTAGAACTTGGCCGTCCTTTACTACTTTTCCTTTTTCCATGATTGGATTTCACACCTCCTACTTTCTCTCGTGTGGCTCTATTGGATAGGGAGGTCTGCGGTTTCCTTTTTTCCCCACTCAGGATGCTATCTGGTCTGTCCTCAATTCCATCTGAAGGTATGCCCCCCTCCGTTCCGTCTGATGAAAATGCATAAAGGTGGTAATGCCGGATAAGGGTAACTATTTAGTAAAATCTAAATATTGTTTACATTTGGATACTTATCCTGCATTGCCACATCTAAAGTGCCCTCCCATTGCTTTATACCTACCCGCAAAGTTTTCCAGATATTGTTACTAGCTGTGATGTGTTAGTATATGACGTCGCCACTTACAGTCATGTGGTAGCAGTGGGAGGAAGTAAGCCACACAACTGGTTGGTACAACAACTTCTGTAGCCAGACCTCTCACAGCTCCGTCTCCTAAGTAAAAAAACAGTAGCAGAAGCATTAAGGTAGTAATGCAGGATAAGTATCCAAGTGTAAAACATATTTAGATTTTACTGATATTTTAAGGAAGATCACTCAAATTAAATACCTGAATTCAAGTCCATGGGCCTGAATGCGGAATTATTTCCGTTTTTAGGCCCATGAGCGTAATTATGTACATTAGTAAGGATAGAATGTGTCAAAACGCTGACTGTATAGGTCCTTGTCCTTTCCCTAGGCTATTCATAAAAATGCTGGAACTACTTGTGCTTTCTAAATGTTAAAAAAACTAGAAAAATATTATTGCAAACTCATTGTATCATAGTATTGGGTTGTATGATTTTGAGACAAATTTATTGGTTTTGCACAAGCTCGATCACCACTCTAGATTTGCCCACACTGAATGAAACTGAGCTTCTGTACTAATGGTACTCGGGTTTTAAGGGATCAGCTGGTTTGTGTTTCAGACGCTACATCCCTGAGTTGAAGGACATGCCCCTTGTGTTTCTGTACGAGCCGTGGAAGGCCCCTCTGGAAACTCAGCAGAAGGCCAACTGTGTGATTGGGAAAGATTACCCAAAGCCTATGGTTGACCATCGCAAGGTGTCCAAGGAGAACAAGGAAATGATGGATGGAGTCATGCATTTCCTCAAGGACAAGAGTATGTATTTTCACAATTCTTATTTATACCACTGACCTTATAGGGCAGGAATATATAGTTATACCAAGGAATTCCGTCCTTCCAAGGACATTTTTTTGTGCAACCTATTACTTAAAACTTCAAACTTGGTGAACGCTTTCTATATCAATATTTTGGATTTTCTGAAAAATACTGATATTTTCTATTTTTTACTTAGAATTTGTATAAATATACTTATGCAGCCTATAACTTGAAAAATACGGCATGGATTCTTTTCAAATTTAGCGAACAGTTTTTATACTAATTGGAGAGGTGCAATACAAAGTTTGATTTTGATATGTGAAATTTCAGAACAAATATTGCTTTTTTCATGTTTTGAACTTAGAATGGTTTGTTTTACTTCAACATTTGTGCAACCTATAACTTGAGAACTACTTCATGGATTTTTTTCCAATTGGGGGTACAGTTTCTATACCAATAGGGTTGCCGTGCAAAGTTTGTTTTTGATAAAAAAAATTTGACAAAATATTGCTTTTTTCATGTTTTGAACTAAGAAATATGTTGGCGTCGAAGTTGGTGTATTAGTGAGCCCTGTTCACCCTTCGGCTTGTTTGGTGATGGTGTTTCCCTTTTCAAGTGGCATCAGGTGTTGTATTTGGCAGTACATGTTACATGTTAATGTCCTTTTTTTGTAATAGTTTTCTTAAGCAATTGGTGAATCTCTCATTTATTTTGTTGATTATGGCTTTTTATTGACATAATTCCTATTAATTAGGCGTATTATGTTTTTTAATTGTTTAATTGATACTCCTGACGACCCTACTGCTGCCTTTGTCAAGCGACGTCGTCAGCTATCGCCGGGAAAGGTCTCCAGTTATCTCTGGATCGTCCTCAGGCGTCACCGGATCGCCAGCTATCACCGAATCTTCGTCCGCTATCGCCAGGGTTGCCAGAGATCGCCGGATCGTTGCCAGTGCTCGCCGGATCACCAACACTCGCTGGACCGTCGCCAGCGTCGGATTGTCGCCAGCTTTTGACGGCTCATCGCCAGACTTCGCCAGCGCTCTCCGCACCGTCGCCAGCAATCACCAGCTATCGCCAGGCCGTCACCAGCGCCAGATCGTCGCCAGCTTTTGCCAGGCTCTTCGCCAGCTTTTGCCAGGCTCTTCGCCGGACTTTTGCCAGCTTTATATGTTGCCAGGATGTCTTTTCGTCTCGCAGAACATTGCCGACACGCTTCATCATCTGGTGTCCCGGCGCCAGACGTCTGGACTCCTCCTTTATGTCATCTTGCCACCCTTTGGATGATGAATAACATTTTGTACCGGACTATGACGAAGTGTCCTGCTCCTGCTGATATGCCTGCTTGGCTTGTGGATCATCTCCCTTGTGCTTCGCCTGGGCAAGGCGCCTCCCTCCAGGTGGAGCACAAAGTTTCGGAGTCTGGAGAAGTTCTCCTCCCACGTGACCTGTTGATAGCTGATGTGGCCACGTCATTAAACACTGCTTTTACAACAGTGCCTGTCCAGACATCGATTCAAGTTCGGAGATTTCGGAAGGAACACTATCCTTTTCACTTTATGACATTTGCCAACGTCTACCCTCCTGTTGATGAAGACGTTCGGATGCTCGCCGGTTCTTCTCAGTCCAGTACCTCCAGCTCTCTCAGCAGCGAAAAAAACATATGTTTGGAAGAGAACTAGTCTGAAGCGGAAGTCCGATCCAGTCCCAGTTCGGACCTACAAGCCCCCCAACTGAGGATGCTTTTCCGGCGGGGACCGGCGCCGGAGTGACTTTCTTTGGACACCCGACAACTGGCAACTCCCTCTGCCAGTTGTCCCTGTTCATCCGTCTCCAGGAGGAGGGAGACTTCAGACCTACTGGAGGAATTGGCAGCTGCTCCAGGATCCATTAGTTACCTGGATCCTCCGCCACGGTTACCGCCTGCAGTTCCGTGCCGTTCCTCCTCTGACTACTACTCAATATCGGCCTCGCGATGTGCCAGATCTCTAGGCCGATAACGATCGCTAAGAATGCAGTGGATCTCCTGGGTTTTATTCTCCAGTCTTCCTGGTGCCCAAGAAGGGTCCATCCATAATTCGAATGATCCACAATCTGGGGCTATTCAACCTCCATTATGCACGTTCCCATTCAGGCAACACATCGTGGTTTCCTACGCTTTGTCTTCCGGGGCCAGCACTTTCAGTCGAAAGTGCTCCCATTTGGCATTTCCACGGCTCTGTGGTTATTCACACGTATAACCCATCCCAGGGGTCATCTTCAACTGCGTCCCCTCAGCGGTTCCTCCTGCCATTTCTGCACTCAGATCTGTTGGGTCCCCTTCTTCCTCTGCCAAGGGACTTACATCCGTTCTTGGAGTGGTGGCTAGTCCCATCGAACGTCTTGAGTGGTTCTCCTATGTCAAGTTTCGAGGCCACTGATCATCTCTTCATGGACGCATCTCTACAAGGATTGGGCGCTCACCTTCTCCAGGAAACTGCTTCCGGTCTTTGGACTCCTTCGGAACGTGCGTGGCACATCAACAATCTTGAGTTGGGGGGAGTCATTCGGCTGATTCATCATTGGCGTCAGATACTCCGCTCACAGCTGTCTCATGGTCGCCTGGGACAACTCCATGATGGTGTATTACATCAACGGGCAAGGGTCGACTCGATCTGCTTCTCTCCTGGAGCAGACCTTTCGCCTGTTTCATCTGGCCGACAGTCTCCCTCTTCTGATACAAGCCCGTCACATTCCAAGTTGTCGCAACGTCTTAGCCGACTCCCTGTCAAGACAGGATTGTCCGTCCCCCACGGAGTGGATGCTCCACCTGGAAACCGTCCGGTTCTTGTGCGATCGCCAGGGGACTCCCAACATGGATCTCTTCGCAACAGTGTGCAACCACCAATTGCCGGTGTACGTGTCTCCTGTCCCGGACCCAGCTGCTTGGGAGGTAGATGGCCTTGCTCTGTCCTGGGTCGGCCTAAGCGTGTACGCTTTTCCACCCCCAGTTCTTCTCCCCCAGGTCATTCAGAAGGCGTCCCGGACCTGTCCTCTGGATCTGATTTTGGTCGCGCCTTACTGGCCGTCCCGAAAGCTCCGTCAGCTCGCGGGAGAACGCATGTGGCGTCTCCCGGCGTGGCCAAATCAGCTGCTCAATCCTCACACCGGACGACCACATCCAGACCCCGACAGTTACAGTCTGCATAATTGACGTGTCTCAAGAAGTCACTGATCGCTAAAGGTTTTTCAGCTCCTGCTGCGGCGGCTGTTTCCAGAGCTCAGCGTCCCTCCACTCTATATATGATGACAAGTGGCAGTCGTTCCAGGCCTTCTGCTTTTCCAGGCACATCTTTCCCAGTGGAGGCCACTGTTCCACAAGTGGCTCTGTCAAGCATTGTTCTCTCTACCGTCAGACCACCATTCTGTTCCGAGAGGGCTTGACCTGCATCTTATCCCCTTGCCTGCCGTTCCGGGAGCTGCTACCTTGCTGTCACCTGCTGGGTTTCCTGCCGGACGGTTTAATTCTGCTTCTTCAGGGTGCCTGGCGCTTCTCACGGTAAGCCCGCCTTCCATCAGTCGAATAAAGCACTGTGTACCGTCAGGTAAGGTAAAACATGAGCATTTCTGATTAAATGCAATGTTTTTATACTTACCTGAAGCTACACCTATAGGCCCACCCGGACTCTGTCCTCCTCCTCCGCCTTACCCTTGGAGCCACTGTGTACTCTACGTCTGATGTCTTCCAGTGAAGAATATGAGGAGTAGGGGCCAAGGGGGATAACTCTTGAATGCCTAGGCACAGGCTGTAGTCTGCTTAAACTGTCTCTTCGTTGCAGCACTGTCTGTTTGTATAAGGTAGGGAAGCTAAAGCACTGTGTAGTGTCAGGTAAGTATAAAAACATTGCATTTAATCAGAAATGCTCATTTTAGGTATTGAGACAAAATGAATCATCTTGTGCATCACATCATTTGAATTTAATATCACAATGTGTCCATGGATCATTTTCAACTCACTTGTCCTGAACGGCCATGTGAGCAGATGTAGCCGAAAGTCTGTTGTCGTCTGTTGTCCATCAGCTTCGTCTTTGTTGTCCAAAAACTTGTTCCATTTTCAACTTCTTCTCTGAAATGTCGTGATGGATTCAACTGAAATTTTGTGTGGATGTTTGTTACTATAAGCAGGTCAAGTTTGTTAAATGCATCAAGGGGGCACGGGTGGCCCAAACATCTGAGGCGGCGCGATTCGCTGTGCAGAGTTGCGTCCCTTGGGCACGCCAGAAACCTATGATTGTGGGTTCGAATCCCGGTTCGCCCCGATTATGTTTCTAGGTTTGTCAGCACCATACCCGTGCTCGTGGGTTTCACCGAAGTGGTAAATGTCTAAGACCTGCATTACTTCGGGCTTTCCTCCCACATTAAGCTGACACGCCGTGATATAACTGGAATACTGTTAAAAGCGGTGTTAAACCCAACTCACTCACTCACTCACTAAATGCATCAAACTTGGAATTTCTATGTGGCTCCCATATAGCCATCTTTTATTAAAAACAAGAAAAATGTATTGTCTTCTAAAAAAAATTATGGGGCAAGAAGCCTGAAACTTTGTTTGTTCAAGGCATTTTGATTGGAAAATCAAATCTGGGTGCCAGTTGGCATATTGGATTTTTAATTTTTTTTGTGTGAATTATCTGTCATAAACACCTCCTCAGAAAAGACCTGACCAATGAAGCTGAAATGTCAGGGCTTGATTGATGCTTTACATCCACCAATGATGACACCCTAGTTTGTTCAAGAGGTTTGAATTGGATTTTCAATATAACCATGCTATTAGAAAATGCTATGCTATACTATGATGATTTACCATTTAAATTGTATTTCCTGCTCTCCAAGGCATTGTTTTATATGCAGACATTAAGATTACTGTGTGTATTGTCTCGTAAACTAAGCTGGAAGCACCAATCAGCAGTGCATACGTTTCCTCCCGCATCTACCGGTAAAAGGTACCCCAACTTCAAATA